ATGGTGGAGAGCTCAGTCCAACTTTGGAAAAATTTCAAGAAACATTTGGACAGCCGTTTTTAAAACGTCTTCTTCCTCACAGTGAGAAAGAGTTGAAATCAATAAATTTGGAGAACGGGCTCATGATCCAAAGATTACAAGGATAGGTTCTTCCGTAGCTCCATCGATGGCCGTAAAGGCTGGTAGCTTTCTAGAACCTATAGAAGCACAAGGGTTGGCCCATTTTCTTGGTATATACTTATATATATGTTGAACTAACCTTTTTTGTCTACTTATTATATAGACCATGCAATTAGTTATTGACAATTTTCTTGGCTATGCATAAGACATGCTATTTTTAGGTACATATAAATTTTCTGAGGAAAATGATGTAAGATTTCACCATTGAGTTTGTAAAATGCCATGGAAACAATATGTTAGTTAACACGATATGACATGTTGGATAATCATATGTTCTTAGCTAGAACAAGTGCTTGACTATTATTAAATGATAACATGGAAGAACTGAGAGCCTAACTTGATTTTTGTTTCTTTTAGCTTGAAAATTACTTGAAAAGGCATGGAAGCCACTCAAATGCGGAGATATGTATTACCTGCAAGTCTTGCCACAATACCTTGAAGGTGCTTAGGAAAGGTAACGGTAGAATTACAAAGAACCTATAGATTTTGATCACTTATGTTAGTTTACTTTTTCATTTTTTCTCTATGTAAGATTTTTTTTTTTTTTACTTTTGATGGTGTTTTCTTTGCTAGATTATCTCATTTTTTTATCACGTCCTTCCTAAATCCTGACTCAATAAAACGAGAAATTTGCGCTGTTGATTCAGGTTTGTTTTGTTTGTAAATGCTATTGATAAGGTATTTTTATAGAGGCTACTACGAAAGAAACCCATTTCCTCTAGTTTCATTCATGTTAACCTTTGTTTCCTTGAAAGTTAGGTAAAGAGATATTTTACGCGTGTTAAGGAAACACCAAAATGTATCCCTGCGATCAACCCACCAAACTTATATGGAATGCTAGCAAAGTCTATGTGGTAGAAGGTATTGAAACTAAACATGTTCTTACTACACTACACTGGCTTGGATGTTTCCTTTATTAATTGAAAAAAAAACTAACTTATAACTAAGCTTCATAGATTTTGTCCTCCTATCAATTTGAAGATCTTCTAATAGAATCTTCAACCAATTCACTAAACCTAATGTTTTTGTACGAGATGTTCTCCTTCATTATCTATCTTGAATTTCTAGAAAATATTGTTTGTCAACTTCCACAATCCACATATTAAATATATAATTTAATCATTAGAAGATGGTAAAATAAATACCAAAGCTCTCTCAATTGGTATTTGAGAATAATCTATACACTTAACAAAAATTCAATTATACATCATTCCATCACCATTTCCAATCTTAGTTCATCTCCACCAGCTGCTCAAAAATCACACAAATTGCTTCACACCCTAGAAAATTATGATTTCAAATAATTAACATGTTTTTGACAAATTTTATAAAGGTAACCAGAATATAAGCATTTTCCAAACCAATCACCCTTATTAACATCCAAATCTTGAATCTCTTCTAATCTATACAACCATCATTCTAGTTTTTGTTATTTTTTTGGTTATTTTAAGTGATGTTTTTATATTGTATTCGGGAGAGAAATTAAGCCGAAAAGCTTTCGTTGTTCGGTATTATGTTAGTTAAATAATTATACAAATGTATACAAATTCTATTCCCTAACTTGATTTTGGATTCTCAGCTGATCTCATCTCATCTCCTCCACATGTTGTCACCTCAGTCCTCACCTGTTTTACCAAAAAACAGTCAACTTAAAAGGCACATTGACTAAAATACATCTGATAGTTTTATTAATATAAACACAAAATACATGACGTTTCTTATGTATAAAAACAGCGTGACGTTCTATTTTAAAACTCCGTAACATCGTGCTGTCTTTGAAGAAACGTCTCTACGTCCTTCTCCTCTCGGATCTGCTGCAACTGCAATTCTCTGAAACTGGGTGAAATTGAAAATTCCCAAATCCTAAGACCTAATTTCTCAAATTAGGTTTGTTCTTTTCTCCTTTCTTCGTTCTAGTTACTTAGCTCTTGTAAGGAAGAAGCTTTTAACATTGAAAAGTTTCAGTCTTTTGTAAGTGAAAAGCTTTTGTAATTGAAAGTTTCAGTCTTTTGTAAGTGAAGCTATTGTTATTGAAAGTTTCAGTCTTTTGTAAGCAAAAAAAAGCTTTTAACATTGAAAAGTTTCAGTCTTTTTGTAAGTGAAAAGCTTTTCTAATTGAAAAAGTTTCAGTCTTTTTTGTAAGCAAGAAGCATTTGTAATTACCCACTTTTGTAGTATCTGCTGTGTTCTAGCCTTCAAGGTAAGCATTTTTATGTGTAGGAAGTTGATTAGTGATACTGAAATTTATTTGTATGTTTTTAGAAATGGAAGCAAATAGAGAGAAATATGCTGCTGATATATCTTCTATAAAGGAAGCTCATGAGCGTATTAAGCCTTATATACATAGAACTCCGGTGTTAACATCTGAATCTTTGAATTCAATCTCCGGAAGAAGCTTGTTCTTTAAGTGTGAGTGCTTTCAGAAAGGGTGAGGGGACTTAGTACTAATGCTTTATTGAGTGAAGATTATTTCATTGTCCTCTGTATCGAATATTTGATCATTTTTGACATTTCTGTTTGTGAAAATCAGTGGAGCTTTCAAATTCCGTGGAGCTTGTAATGCTGTTTTGTCGCTTGACGCTGAACAAGCTGCCAAAGGTGTTGTAACACACAGCAGGTTTCGTAAGAGTTTTTTTCCATACTATGAAAGATTAATGCCTTGTTGTTTACTGATTTCGTTTGGATAGTTGATGATATTCTGTAATTGTCTTCACTTGTTAGTCCTTTATGATTAAATTTCTTCTACCAGTGGAAACCATGCTGCTGCATTGTCTTTGGCTGCGAAGATTCAGGGAATCCCGGCATATATTGTCATACCTAAAGGTGCTCCACAGTGTAAAGTTGATAATGTGATCCGTTATGGTGGTAAGGTTATATGGAGTGAATCAACAATGTCTTCTAGAGAGACAGTAGCTTCCAAGGTTTTGCAGGAAACAGGTTCAGTTCTCATCCACCCATATAATGATGGACGCATTATAAGGTATTCTGCTTTTCTATGTTTGTGTTATATGTTCAGTTCGCAAATGTTTGTTACTCACTAAAGCCTTATTTTTCTAAGAAAATGAATCTCTTGAAAAATGCATATTAGGAATAATACTATGTGGTAGGGTTCATCTCTGTTTTAAATGCATTATGGATAAGTATTTAGTTCGGGTTATGGTCCTTGTAACAGTGGTCAGGGAACAATTGCATTGGAACTGCTCGAGCAGATCCAAGAGATTGATACTATAGTTGTGCCGATAAGTGGGGGTGGTTTGATATCTGGTGTGGCTCTTGCTGCCAAATCAATTAAGCCTAGCATTCGTATTATAGCTGCTGAACCAAAAGGAGCCGATGATGCGGCTCAGTCTAAGGTTTCAGGTAAAATCATCACTTTACCTGTGACCAATACCATAGCCGATGGCCTTCGAGCTTCTCTTGGAGATTTAACCTGGTAAATTAACTCTTACTCTTATAGGAATTGTGTCTATGGCTAATTGTTCAAAATTCTGTAACATTCATTCTCAAAGCGTCTTTTTGCTATCAGGCCGGTGGTGAGAGACCTGGTAGATGATGTGATAACCTTGGAAGATTGTGAAATAATTGAAGCCATGAGAATGTGCTATGAGATACTAAAGGTCTCTGTTGAACCAAGTGGGGCTATTGGCCTAGCAGCTGTTTTATCAAATAGTTTCCGTAACAATCCTTCTTGGTGTGATTGCAAAAACATAGGAATTGTACTCTCAGGAGGTAATGTTGATTTAGGATCTCTATGGGATTCATTAAAGGGCTCAAAGTAAACATCTCTCTGTCTTATTGCATTTGTTTCACTGCTTCCCTTTAGTTATTAATGAGAATTGTTGTGCTCCACTGATTCTTGTTTATTATCATCTTGTTTACTAATAAGTATATACTGTATAAAATTTTATGTCTACTAAAGGAATTGTATATTCTATGACTGTGTGGTATATACACTTTTACGTAGAAATATAATCTTTAATTAGTTCACTTGAGACCGAACAAAAAAAAATGTTAAACTCAAGTACGCCTAATTGTCTTTACTTTAATCGCCTAACAGTCTAGTTTCATGATGCTATAAAAATATATAGTTTTCTCTTTAAAGCAGCCACGAATCGGTCTACATGATTTTTCACACGCAATTAGAATACATTGAATTGCCTAACGATCTATTATTTTTTATTAGTCAATTTATTCAACAACTTTATTGATCAATATCTTAGTTTTGACTTGAGGAGTAGTGATCTATTAGGTTTTTGTTTCTGTATATCTAATTTTTGCATCTTATCGAATCCATTCGCAATCTCAAACAACACAAGAAATCAGCAATGAGTCATGACAAGAAGTCAAGAACAATCAATGAACTCAGTAGCTTCCAATGTAAAAGCTAGCAAGCAAAATATATAATCCAATAGTTTTATTTTTAGTCCGTATATCAGAAAACTAGAACACAAAAGTTTTATTTGTAGTAATCCAAAATTTTCTTTTAATTTATCTTATTATTTTTGCAACCTTTTTTTTGACCACCTATGTTAGATTTTTTTTTTCCTTTGTTTGCCCTTAAAGTCTAATTAAACACATATTTTCGATTAGATTAACTAAGGTCATAAATGTAACTAAACATTTCGGGTCGGTTTATAAATGTCAATTTCAACCCGATTGAAATATTTGGATATTGCATTAGATTAATGAGTTGACTTTCATATGTACTATTGACCTCGAAAATGACCACCTACCTTCTCGGCGCAAATCTTTCCTTCTATAACTAAGAGTGAATATTTGATAATCAATCATAATAACTATATTTCCTTTTATGAATACAATCTAAAATCAAATGAATATATAAAGCGAAATAATCGTCACATCTTAACTTCTTTCTAAAGTGTTTATAGATAACACCTCCATATTATAAACAGGCAACCATTATCGTTAATTTAGTAATCTTGGTAAATATTTCTCACTCGCTAAATGGTTTGAGATACTTAAACTTATTCGATGCTCAGATCGACACTGTCTTCGCAGCTATATCGGTGTTAAAGTACGACGACATCGAAATCATTGTCACGGGAACTGGCTGGCCGTCGAAAGGAGACGAGAACGAAGTTGGAGCCACCTTACCTAACGCAGCGTCTTACAACGGAAACCTAATCCGTAGGATCTTGACATGTGGTGGTATACTGTTACGTCCTAAACAAGATCTAACGGTCTATCTTTTTGCTCTGTTTAACGAGAACAAGAGCAACCTGGTGCTAATTGTTATAGTCCTGCTACACTTGAAGCTTATTAGTTATTATCAGAAGAAAGGTCGCGTCGGTGGGAGTTGTTACTTCGGCGGCGCTTACGTCGTTAGCCAACCACCAAGTAAGTTCATACTGTAGCTCTTTTATTATTGTGGCGCATGTTAAGAGTAGGTGTGGGGGTTTCATGCTAACCGACGCTATAATTAGGGTAACGTAGTTTTATGGTAGTGTGTGTGTTATGTGTTGACGACAGAGGTCAAATGTTCCCACGTGAAAACATAGTGTTTGTGGCTTTACCTCATCTTTGTCTTTAAAAGAGAACCGTATGGTGTTAATATTAGATATTTCTTTTTGAAAAAGAGTTAATATTAGATATTTAAAGTTTGATTTTGTGAATCTAATTTATTAATAAAGAAGCTGATTGGTTTGTGTAAATGTGGAATAAGCAGAGTATGGAAAATGCGAGTTTCCGACAGGATACTAAAGAAGAAGATTTGAGTTATTTTTAGGGTAAATTCCTTCTTGCTTATATATTATATATAATTTGTATTTTGATGTAATTTGTTTTGGTTGTAAATTTTTTGTTAATTTTTGTAACTTCTAACTCTTTTTTTTTTTTTTATGTTGGATTGTTAATATCAACTGAGACTATGTTCTTGATATTAAGTATTTGAGGTTTTTCAAAAGTAATTGAGGTTTTTCAAAAGTATTTGAGATCATGAAAATTATTAATGTTGGTTAAGATACATAAGTCGAGAAATGTTTATGGTGGCTACATTATTATACATGTCATTATTTTTTACTTTTTATGTGGGTTTCACATGTCATCTCAACGACTTTCCGACTCATAAAATGAAGCCACTTGAAGAATACAATGAGCATACATATAGTTTCATTTGCTCTGTTCTACTTGACTAAGCGAAGTGCCACCTGAAAGGAAGAAAAGAAGAGACAGAAACAAAAGCCGAAAGGAGTCTCCTCTCCCCAAATACACTACATCTATCTTAACATTTGTAATCACCTTTAGTTTCAATTTTCTTTCCCACCGAATATCCTTAGTACAAAGCTAATTAGCAAATCTCATTAAAGTTAATCATATCAATTAACGAATCGGGTCGAGTTTTTTTTTTTCCAATTTTAAACCCGTTTTCATTTGTTGAATATTTACTCAACAAATCTAGATTTCATCAACAATATATATATATATATATATATAACTATAGAAACGAAATCAAATCTATATTTCATCAAATATATATATAAATAGAAATATAGAATCGAAATCAAATCTAAATTTACAAAATATAGTAATTTTCCCTAAATCAAGTCTATATTAACATTTTTAAGTACATTTGGCAAAATAACGACATTTTATTTTATAATATTTTCAATAACTGACCCTTGCTATTTCTATAATTTTAAAAACTAGAAGGATTTAATATTAACAAACAAAACCAAATCTGATTTCTATAAGCATATAATTATTAACGATTTTGATTATATTATATTATTACACAATTTCGATTATATTATTTCCATTAATATTCTTTTGCTATATTTGTTATAGTAATAAAAGTCAAATCCCAAAAAAATAGCACATTAACCCTTGGGGATCTTTGACCAAAAAAAAAACCCTTGGGGATCAACTAAATCTCCATTTTCTATAACTCTTTTAAATGCATAGCATTAACATTGAGAAAGAAAAATGTAAGGCAATAATTAAAATAGCAAATATTTTCGATAAAATTTCAGAATCTGATTACATTAACTACACAATCTTATCTTACATTATTCGCATTTATTATTTTTTGCTAAATTGTTTTTATAGTAATATGAAAGTCAAATCCCAAAAAAATTGCCAATTAAGGTAGGTTTTACTTTGCTAAATTTATCTATATTTGGTATGTTAATATTTTTGTTTTACTCAAAAAAAAAACAATATTATCCTTTACAAATTAAACTCGATGGAATATTAATGGTTTTATTTAGAATTTTGGGTTTAAACTTAAATTGTTGGACACACTTCCTCTCCTTATAAATAAAGAGAAGTAATTGTATGTTCTCTCTTCCTTACCCTCTCCTTTTTTTTTTCTTTTTTTTTTTTAAATTGTTTGATTATTGTGAATTTGTGATTTTGATACTCATTGTTTTCGAATTGATGCATATATTAGTTTCAACGGGAATATGAGGATGATTATTTCACAAAGGCAATTTTGTTTTCAAAAACTTGAAATAGTTATCTCTTTCCTTCAAAAATAATTTCATTTTTTAAGTTCATTAAAAATAAATTTTGCTATTTAATTTACCAAATGAAATATTTAAAATTTTCAAATTTAAAATATGTTAATCTATTTTCAAATTTAAAATATGTTAATCTATTTTCAAAATTCCGTATTCATTTTATTTCCTTCAAATCTTGAAATTAGTTTAAACATTTTATGCATATTTTTAAAATATAAATTGGTAACGAAATATTTATTGTAGAGACAACTTTACAACTAATGAATATGATATGACTAATAATTGCCGTGTATTTTTACTAAAAGTCATGAATTAAAAAATTTAAGATGCAATTAGTAATGTAAAAAAAAAAGATGCAATTAGTAACTAATTTAAAACTAAATTTAATTATGTAATATTTTTTATAAAGTCCTTAGATAGTTATTTATAAAATAATTATGAAAAGTAATTTTGATGTGGTTACAAAATAATATTGGGTTTGCTACATAAATAAATCTCTAAAATATTGCAACCATAAATAATTTAAACTAATATTGCAAAATTAATAATCCATATTAATGTTGTAAAATAACATTCGTATTTCCTTTCATATTAACAATATGATATTTTAACAAATATGAGGTTCACTATATTAAAAATACACATGATACTCATAACTCTTCTAAAATCCAGCCCATATGATTTCATCAACAAAATTTGTTTTTTGCAAATACAACTATATTATAATTTTGTATTATAACACTATAACATTTATATTAATCACTAAAGAAACGCAATCATTTTATTACACAAAATCAAGAGTATTACATATAATTTTGAAAGAAAATGGAACCATGGTGTACCACGGGGTAAAAATTTGTTTTCGTTTAACAAAAAAAAACCCAAGAAATTTCCCTTCCGCTCTATCGCAGGTACGAATCTAGCATATTGTTCGATATATATAAACCACAAAGGATATATTGTTCATGTTGGCAATCAAAAAATTATGCTAAACGAACTTTGTATATAACTGTACGTATATATAAACTATAACGGTTAAGGTTTTACATAACATATATGCATAAAATACCAGCTCCGTGGTGTACCACGGGGTAAAATATAGTTAAACTTTATTTTCGGAGAAATATTAATAGCAAAATGGGACAAAGTTATATTTTCCGTTGTGAACATTGAACAATATTATTTGGCAGAAATATTATTTTCTTAAAATATATGTCATATGTATTTCAACCATTAGTTATAAAATGATAATTTTCTCTAATTTGTTCAAAAAGAAGAATAAATTACTTTGCTAAATATGTTTTTAATGTTTTTTTTTTGTGTTAACCCACCTATCCATTTAATAACTTTTATTTTTTTTAATAATTTTAATTTCTAATATTTGATTATTTTTTTAAGTGCTAAAGGAAAAAAACATTCTTCAAATCATGAAAACTATATAAAAACGACAGCCATTTAAGATCCTAAAATCAAGACTAGTTCTAAATAAAATTAAGGAATAAATTAATGCACCATAAAATGATAATTTTGATCTTGGAAAGACAGAATAAGTCAAACATTTACGTGGATCGACCAACGTAATTATTATTGCCTTCATTATTATCCATTAAGCGTTGATCTGTCTATAGTCACGTAAACATGATCACACGCGTACGCATATCTACGTACTCACACACTGACACACACATACAATAGATACGACTCTATTAATTCTCCTCAGTGACCATCTGAATCGGGAGCTGGTGAGACCCAGTAGCACCAACCCTACCCCTAGGACAAAACACGACCCTGTAGTTAGTGTTTGTGCAAGTGAAAGTGCTGGTCGGGTCGTCTTGTGGATAACTGTAGGCGTCAGGACACCTCTGTTTGAAGAACCTTGAGTACTCAGTGTCGCTACATGATCCCTGCCCGTTGGTACAACAGTATTGGTTCGTCTTAAAAACCGTGCATGGGTTGTTGCATCCACCCGGGGCTCTCAATACGTTTGGACACTGTCCGTTTATGTCCGCAGTGCATACTATCCTGTGGCAGTTGGAGCTCGTTGGACTAGCATAAAAGAAAAGCATATCAGGATCTTGTCTAAAAAACATATTGAGCTAGTTGGGACTAGTATGGTTTAAGTTTAAACTAAAGAAAATATTCTTACCTAAACTCCATAGGAATGTTAAATCCATCAACAAGTGAGATGTCGTAGAAGTCTAAGTTGTTGAACTGGTTCAAAGCGTACTCAGCCAACGTATTTGGTGGCTGACCCCAACCGGTGCATTGTAGTCCACCACTACAATCACCGGTTTCGCATCGGCCACGGCCAGAGGCGTCAAAGTTACAGTTGGTTCGACCCCAAATCCGCGCCATTTTAGTGCCGGCCGCAACATCTAGCCTCCATGACTGGCCGGAGTTTAAACGCCGGCCGCCTCCGGGGCTGGCAGCTGCCCATACGGTGTAACTACATTGGTTCAGGATGTCGAATGTGGCAGCCGTCGCGGTGGAGATGAGAAAAAGTGCGGAGAATATGAACGTAGAGGATGAGATGTTTGCCATTTTTTTTTGTTCTACCGATTTTGTGTATGTGTGATGTTGTGTTAATATATATGATGGAGTTTATATAGAGGTAAAGGATTACGTATTAGTTTGATAAATTTGTTATATAATTAGTATTTATATTTTTGAAGTTATCTGCATAATGAATGCTAATATGCTTTAAATCAAATTGATAGATAGGGGCGGCTTGACTATATATGTTGATCATGACTTGCCCCAAAGTCTTGTTTCTAGATTGAAGTGTAGAATTAATTATACATGTTTGTACTAATTTAAATTTGGATATATTATACTACTACAAGTGACTCATACATGTTTATTGATTTAAATTAGATATGAATACTTGGACGTTACTACTTAGTTATGAATACTTGGACCTTGGAACTTCGAGGTTATATCACATGATTTGTAATAGACGTCCAAAACCTGAAACATGGTCCAGCCCATAGCCAAAATTACGATTTGCTTCATATCTTTAGCCTATGCAAATTACGTACTATTTAAAGAAATTGTATAAACAAAAAAATGACGAAGAGAAAGCTGCCCAAGGTTGAACAAGTCCGTACATGATTGGGCGGCCATACATTTAGTTAAGACTACTTGTGCTTCTTTTTTTTTGTTAATTCAAACATAATACATTTCGATAGTATTAAAATTCGTACTTGGTGTTTTCCTTATCCACCAATAATATTTAACTATGCAAGAGAAAAAATATTACAAAAATAAGCTTTATTTGCAGTAAGATCGACACAAATGATGTAGGTTTCGATGATGATGAGAAGTCTATGGGATAGAGATAGAGATTACCAAACTTGCCTTCACTCTTTGGTGCTAATCGAATTGATGGTGGATTTGAGGAGTGGGGCATATATCACTCAATACTCTCTTAATCCACAGCTTCAATCACATACTTAAAATCTAAAGAACAATACATAAAGGACTCCAACTTTTTGTGAAAATAACAAAACACTTTCAGTGATCGATCAAGGATGATAAGATCATTATCATTAACCTAGAGAATTGTCAAAGCTTGTTTCCGATTTTATGTCTAAATCAAAGTATTATTAATCTTGGTAACAATCTAAAGCTTAATGAACTGTATCTAGTTTACTTGCACACAATAAGGCTGAATGAGCTATCTAGTTTACTTGCACACAAAAAAAAACATTAATAAGCTATTTAGTTGCAGTATTGTATTTCTAGTTTTATAATTCTTCTTGCTTTGAGATTCTTGCTCTTACAATTCAATCTTAAACCCAACCCTGCCAAAATAGCAACTTAAATTCATATGCTGATGAATATATTTTAGAAAAACCGAAAGCTACAACATAACTTCCCCGAAATTGCCTAGCTCATTTCTATATTCTTGAACTGTCTATTTATAAAGTCTTCTTTTCTTAATATATTCTCTATCAGATGACTCAGTCTCAGTGTAAAGCCTGACTTGTCTTAGCAAACTCACGTAAAGATAAACATCCTCACAATCCAAATTAATTAACAAACATGTTGTATATGGCTTAGCATGTTTCTATGTTATCATTAGCACTAGCTAACTCACTATTGGATATTTTATGAATTAGCGAATTAGATATATACAAAACTATGAATTGAATTACAATTATCCTAATTAAGTAGACATTATCTAGCAAAATAAATTTAGTCAAACTAGAAATTTTGTTTTTTAACAGTTATTTATTGACTTATATTGTTCATACAACCATAGTCCATAGTATAAGGCTTTTTTTTTTTTTTTGTCATCTTCCATAGTATAAGATTATAGCATGGAAAAGATATATATAAAAGTCTAACAAAATTTCCTTGAAACTTCCACGTAAAAATCTTTATTTCCAATGCAACCAACCACTCAAATCTTTAATAATATATCTCTAATTACAAAACTTCATATAAAATAGTCAATCTCTTACAATAATTATACACACTACTCAAAAAGTCATATAGATGAAAGAGCTTAAAGATCACGTAGTAGTAATCACCTATGGACCATCATCGGAGGGTTCAGTAACGGCGTCACCTGCGGCCTCAGTTCCAACGCCGCCGTCTTCGTTTGCTTACTCTGCACCGCCGTCAACATCAAGATTCAGCTCACGGAGGCGAGCGTCGGTTCATGTGATCGGTTTGGTTCTCCGGTTTATAGCTTTGGTTCTATGTTTCGTCTCAGCTCTTTCGTTAGCGGTGAATGTTCATCGGCCTTCGAGGAGACATCTGACACACAACTCCTCGAGTTTTGCTTCATATCCTGAACTTTTGTAAGAAACCTTATCTTCTTTAATTCATTGTTTAATAATACTACTAATAATACTCATATTTTTATATAATTCTATTGTTTCATAGAAAATGATGTTTTGTTATTTCCAAGCAGTTTTGATTATATTTATCGTTATTTCACATATCAATGCTACAACTAGAAAAATAAGGAATAACTGAATATAAAAATCTTTAAATGTAGACTACGTTGGATGATTTTATGACTTAAAGAAATAGAATTTTAGTAACTAGTAAGGTTTAAATTCAAGTTTTTATGGGTTGGGATTTGGAATTAAAGTTTAGAGTTTTCTTTTTTCTTTCTTTGAAAAAAAAAGGTAAAGATTCTAGATTATCATTTTTCTTTAACCTCTATAATGACGTTTTATTATAAAAAATTGTCAAAAAAAGAATTATTAATTTATAAATAGGCTATTTTTAGTAATGATTTCCCTAAAACGTAAGAGATCAAAAGTGTATAGTATACAATTCAAATTATCTATACTATGCATGAAAAATGAACGTACCATTAAAAATATTTATTAAAATTTTATTTTTTAATGATATTGTTTTATACTTAAGTTTCTTAAAATATTAAAATAAAACGAAAAAAATTGTATATATAAATGCAGGTATTGTTTTGGAGTAGCAGTGACAGGATTCGTGTATACATGTTTGCAAACATTCAAAGGAGTTTGTGATATTACTCACAGAGGAGTTTTAATCTCTGAGCCTCTCTCCGATTACATCACCTTTATATTTGACCAGGTATTAACTGATTAATTACTATACAATACAATAGTAGTCAATAGTTAATTAATATTGTAAGAAGTCTTAAGCTAATTAATTACATGATCAGGTTATATGTTATCTACTAGTATCATCTTCCTCTGTGGCAATTGCGTGGATCCAACATAGTAACGAGGATGTGTTAAAAACACTAAGAAACTGTTCGAGTGTTTCAGTTTCAATGTCATTCTCTGCTTTTTTGGTTTTGGCACTCTCGGCCATCTTGTCTGGATATAAACTTTGCAAGAGATTTATTTGGTAATTAAATCTTGTAATGGTTTTTTTTTATTTTAGTTTTTATATTCAAGTTCTGTTTCATAAATTAGTAGCTCCATGAATATATAATTTGTTCAGTTGGAATGTAAATATTTAAATTTTATTCAAGAAAATATTTCACACAAAACTTTGGTCCATTAAACACACATATTTTTCTTCATTTATCTCTATCTTTATTTTTTTTAATCACAACATATAAATAAAATCTATATTTTTATTAATTGTATGTATAATATGATAATTAAAAATAATTCGAAAATGAGATAAGAAAATGATAGCAGAAACTTAATTTTAAATATGATCAAAAACTAAAAAAATGTGATATCTGAATTAAATAACATGACATAATTATATATCAGTCTTAGTTTTTTATTGGTAAACAATATTTGAAAGTTTAATTCTGTATTTTTCTTCAAACTTAGTACTAATCCCACATTTTTTGGTTATAAGATTTTTCTTTATGTTTTTTTATATATATTAAAATTTGAACATAGTTCCATAAAATTCAGAATATCGATCATCTAAATAATGGAATTCTAGATCTGAACCAATAACAATGCTAGAGACCGATGTCTTCTTCTGTTCTATATGTTAGCATTGTTTTGCAATGCACTGAACAATTCGGAAGATTTTGGCATTTTTCGCTAAGAAAATGCACTGAACATGTTTTTTGAAATACTTTAGAGATTTACTTACTTTACTTAATGTTCATCTAAGCAATGAAATTATGTGTTATTATACTTAAGAAATTTTATCCACTTAAATGAGAATTAATAAAACGTGACTCTATGATTTCTTTTAAACATAAGAAAACTTGAAAAACAAATAAAATTCTAAGAATTGATTTTATTACTTTATAAATATTTATGTTTTTATACAAATTTTTTACATGAGGAAAAAATATTATTTATGAAATTAAAATGGACTATTTAATTTTTATTGAAAGAAACAATCGATAGACTCTTTATAGCCCTATGTTTGTTGTGTTTCTTGATGACTGAGAAATGATCTACAATTGCAACACTTGTTTTCTTCTATTCAAATATTTGATATGCTCTCAAGTAAAACGAATGCTCGATTTTTTTAGGAGAATCATGTGCTCGAATTAAGTTAAGTTCATAAATCACAATATTGTATATACGAATTTTGGAATTTAGAGTTCTGATTAATAATGTAACATAATATTACCAAAAGAAAAAAAAAAAAGAGTCAACTCCACAATTAATTAGCACTTTATTCCACTCAAATTAACTAAAAAATTGTTATCAAAAACATATCAAACGTTTCTTTGGTCAACAAAAACATATCAAACGTTATAAATAAAGTTAAAAAAAAAAAAAAAAAAATATTAGAAGAAGAAAGAAGAAACTTCTGGAAAAAGTAAAGGAAAGCCACATACGCTCTCTTCTTCTCGCACATTCCTATACTCTTTCCCTTCTTCTTCTTCGTGGTCCCCTTTACCCTAACTTTTTCAAAAATTCCATTTTTACCCTTCTCTTCTTCTCTCCTTTGTTTTTCTTTTCGTTGTTGTTGTTGTCTTCTGGAACTTCCCGATCTGTCTCTCTTCATCTCTCCTCTCTCTCTCTCTCTTTCTTATCAATACGTCTCTCCCAGAACATTCTAGAACTTCTCAACATAAATCACACACAATCTCTCTCTCTCTCTCTCTAAGCTTCGTGATCATCGTGGGTTCTGTCTGGGATTGTGACAATCTCTTTTTGTTTGGTTGGTGGAGAGAAAAAAGATTGCGTCAAGAGAAAGAAGTTTCTTTTTGGATTTGGTTTCTAATGGGTTTTGTGAAAGACGTTTCCTTTCCTCATCTGTGTCTATAGTTTCATCTTTTTGGATCTTTATGATTCCAAGCTTACAACATTTTTGGATTTGGTTTTCTTTAGCTCATTTCCTATATTGGCAATCTTAATTTCGGGTATTGGGATTGTTAAAGCTGAGATTTTTATTGGGTGTGTGTTTGGGATCTAATAACTCATGCCGGGGGAACAAACCGGAGAAAGTCCGACTGTAGCCGGAGTTGGCGGCGGTGGAGCGGGTTGTAGCGCTGGGAATAGTGGTGGAAGTAGTGGATGTGGTGCCGGCGGTGGTGGTAGTGGCGGCGGCGGTGGGGGTGGGGGTGGAGGAGATTCGCAGAGGTCGATTCCGACGCCTTTTTTGACGAAAACGTATCAGCTTGTGGATGATCCTGTTTACGACGAATTGATTTCGTGGAACGATGATGGAACCACTTTTATTGTGTGGCGACCAGCTGAATTCGCAAGAGATCTTCTTCCCAAGTATTTCAAACATAACAATTTCTCAAGTTTTGTTCGTCAGCTCAATACTTACGTGAGTCTCAATTTAAAGTTTGAATCAGTATCTCAGATTTTTATTAGCATAAGTAGTGGTTCTTATTTGGTGTGATATTGGTTTTTAGGGATTTCGAAAAGTTGTTCCAGATCGTTGGGAGTTTTCTAATGATTGTTTTAAGAGAGGTGAGAAGATTCTGCTCCGGGATATTCAACGGCGGAAAATCTCTCAGCCTGCTATGGCTGCCGCAGCTGCAGCGGCTGCGGCTGCAGTAGCGGCTTCAGCTGTTACTGTTGCAGCGGCTCCTGTTGTAGCTCACGCTGTTTCTCCGTCCAACTCTGGAGAAGAGCAGGTGATATCGTCTAATTCTTCGCCTGCGGCTGCGGCTGCTGCTACAGGAGTGGTTGGTGTTGGTCTGCAGAGGACAACTAGCTGTACTACTGCGCCGGAGCTGGTTGAGGAGAACGAGAGGTTGAGGAAAGAGAATAGGCAGTTGAGTCAAGAGTTGACAAAGCTAAAAGGCTTGTATGCTAATATCTATACATTAATGGCGAATTTCACACCTGGTCAAGCAGATTGTGCGAATTTGTTACCAGAAGGGAGACCACTGGATCTTTTGCCGGAGAAACAAGGGATGACTGAAGACATTGGGATAGATACAGGGATTGGTCTAAAGCTTGATGAAGATTTGACTCCGAGGTTGTTTGGGGTTTCCATTGGGGTTAAACGAGCTAGAAGAGAGGAAGAGTTGGGTGTTGAAGAGGAAGAGGATGACGACAGACAAGAAGCAGTTACCAGAGAGGGAGAACAAAGTTCTGATCTAAAAGCAGAGCCCATGGAGGAGAATAACTCCAGTAACCATGATGGGCCATGGCTTGAACTCGGAAAATGAAAACGGTTTTCAGGTCACAGGCTTTGTTGTATCTGCAGGAAATTAACTGATACCATTGAAAAGGTAAATCATTAAGCTGCCCCGGGAGGAAAATGGGACGATGTTCCGTTATAAAAACAATGGAGGTTCATTAAGTTGGGGTACAAAGGCACCTAAACACACAGATTCTACCATCCAGAGTTGTTCCTCATTTCAGATGTTGCCTCCTGAATCTTCTTCTTAATGGAACTGAAACTATTCTGGCTTGTTGTGCTCCAGCGGGTGGATGTGCTTCTAACGATTTCAGATAAGGCGGGCAGATTCGATGTCACATCTTCATACTCTGCAACAAATAGCAGAATCAATGGTTCTTTTAGAGAGGCAATGTTGATACAGAATCATTTAAGTTTTTTTTAGTTCAAAACAATTGTAGCTCTCTGACTTGTAATAATCCTAATGAAATTTCTATTTCTTATCTAAAGATAGTCCAATTCCTCTAGTGGTGTGTATGTGGTTTTTACCTGATGACATAGGGAGCTCGTACTGGCGCTTTAGGAACTTCGAGGCATTACGGTCTTTCTTGTGGCAAAGAACTCTAACGAGAGTTTGTGCATCCTCCAGGCGTCGCTGTTCTGAACTCACTCCCATGTTGATGAGCTCGCTCGCAGTCATTAGCATCTGAATTAGCATATCGGTCTGCCACATAAAATGGACATATCCCGAAAAATGCTAAGTGTCTCAAATTTTCTAAGAAAGGAAACTAACTTTGCAACTCTCATGTCAGCAAATATATTTACCTCGAGAGAGTACAGGTCGAGGATCTCTCTCGCCTGTTTTGCTTCTTGCTCAACTAATGAACGAGGTAGACCCTCTCCATCGGCAATGAAGAACTCCTACAAGGATGCATGCCAGAGATTAGTGCATTGAGGCTGGGTTTATTTCAAAGGGAAAATTGCGGAGCCCCAAAATCAAGATAGCAAAACTAAATTTCTAGCTTTGAAAAAAGGTCTTTATCTTAAACTAACTGAATGAAGAGAGTATAGGAAGATGATAGCTCAAAAACTTTGGTTGGGATAATCTAATTTCAGCATAATAGTACAGAACTTCAAATTAAGAACATAGGTCACATACTTTCAAAATACTGAGATCTTCTTCCATTAAGGTGATGTCTGAATCCGAAAATGCACGGGTTGGTCCTCCATCAAGTAGTACTCGAACATAAGCTTCCTATGTAAGAGAAGCACATAAATTCGATGAGTATAAAATAGGTTGAAGTTAGTTAACTGGTTTCGATATGCAAAAGGAAATGAAGTGTAACCAAAGCGGATCGGCAGATGCTTAAAACCACCATATCCCGTGAGTCCTCATAACTCAAACTGCATACCCTATCAAGGACCTGTCCATTGCATTTCTTAGTGTTAGTTCGTGCTTAATAGAGACGGCTCAACTAGAGAAATAAAACTGTTGTTTACAGAGTCAACGTGAGGGAGAATTCTTTCCAAACGGGCGTCTTCAACTGTGCCATTGTACAACTGTACAAGGAACATGTCTCTCAGATCCCAGAATATTGCTCTTGCCCCTGACACAGAGCAACAATAAATACAGAAAACAGATGTAAACCAAGTTCTGTGTCTTCGATAACACAAAACTTTTAAAAGTAACACAATCCATCCAACATTATCAGTTTCTCGCTCATCCATGAGGGTCAGCTGATAAAATAGGAATGCCTATGTTTGCAAAACAAACTGAAACGTGAATAATATGTATGGCTTATTCACTGAGTATCTCAAAGAACAACTGAAAATTTGCTAATGCATCTTATGTGCATCTGCAAATAGTACAAAAATGTTAATCAATCTTGTTTGTAGATAAGAAAATTATGCAATCAGACAATTTGAATCGTGACGCTTGAGTTGTCGAAAATAGTTTAAGTTTGGACAGATTTTTCAGCTTATATCAAAATTTTAAAGTGCTGCAGATGAACATGAGACTATGTATTAGCTTACCAATTAGGTCACGGGTTTTGGTTATGCAATTGGCATTGGTTTCCCTGAGGCTATCATAGGTGGTAGAAAAGAGTTCATCAACAGCTTCACTATGCGTCAATGAATTCTCCACTTCAGCTTCCTCAGCCTCGATTTCTGAAACAATACGCAAATGAATCCGCCAATGCACATTTCAATACTAGACAACCACCAAAATTGAAGAGAAAAGCGTATAATCAAAAGTGCAAAAGCGTACTTGATCTCTTGTCAAGAGAGGCTCTAACAAGTGACAATGATTTCCTTATTCCATCTTCTGTTGCACTGATTTGTTTCTGAATATACTGATCCACGAACACAGAAAGGAAAGAATAAGAAAATTGAAGCTAGTGTCTAGTGTCTAGTTTTCAAAAGGACATATGACAATTTAGTTTGAAAGAACACACTTACACAGAGTGTATTCAATATTATGCATAGTTTCGGTATTGTCAGTTCATCTAATTTCTTAACTATTTTATTATCTGGCTCACAAAACTCAAGGGACTTCCTCTTCATTACCGGCATTACAGTGTCTGTGAATCGAGTTAAAGGGGGAGCTGACGGATACAGAAACTTCTTGTCAACTGCAGATAGAGGCATGTGGTTAATATATCAGTATGGCAGTATGCTTCTGAAAAGTCAGCTTAATTTAATAAAGTATTCAAAAATGATTTCATTCCACCTTTTCTTTGGACAAGAGATTATATATATATATATATACTAAAATGCTAATCTCAAGAAAGTCTTATACAAAGAAACACAACACTAGAACCTGTAGGCTGCATATAATCTACCAGACACAATTAAGCCTCAGCTCAAGCATTTCTCTGGGTATCAACCTAAGAGAATAATCTTACATAGCATATTTCATGGTAAAGCAAGAACACAACTCAGTAACAACTGTCAAAAAGATGTAGAGTTGGCCAATACCTAGTTGATCGAAAACTCTCTGTAGATATGTATCCAAGCTATGGTAAATTAATGAGAGAAGAGCTTGGAGATGTGTAATATCAACAGGTAGATGTAAACCAAACAACTGAGACACAGTCTGCAGAGCAAGTGAAATGAGATAGTAAGACAGCAAATAAATTATGTGCAACACTACTAAGTAAAGCTGGAAGAATCATGCTACGAATAGAGTAAGAACTTAAACAAAACTAACAAGTAAATCTAGAGGTAACCCAAAGCAATGAAACATGTTTTGGCATACTGAACTAGGTTTATTTTTCCGATGACCCTACAGTTTGCAGATTATTCAAAACCATGATATCATGGAAGTATGTAGACACATATACCTCTTCTATGATCCTGAATATTTCAACGATTGATGCAGCATGTCTTTGCTGAACTGATAGAGGCTCCCACTCCTGCTCATGGAAAAGCCTTAAGATTAAAGTTCTTCTTCCATACTTTGGATTTGGATTACGAAAAGTGATGGGAAGTCTGTATATGTTACTCATTTCTGACAACTCGTATCCTTCTTTATTCTTGATATCATCACCTAAAACTATATATATTGTAATTTTTTTTTCAAATTTTTTTCTCAATACTGACCATATGAAGTTTATAGTGATCCATCAAAATAAGTTCCCCTTATGGCCCAGATTTAATGTCTATCTACTGTCAACAGCAATCAACATGTAAAATCTTTTTTGCTCAGAATATATAACCTCAATTTCAAAAGCTCGCCTAGTCCATTGTAAGATATGATCATGTTGAGAGATAAGCCAGTCCAGCATTACTGGTTTGATAACCTTTTCTATCTGCACATTGACAAATGGATAGTCTCTTAATGAGTTATTTGACATGTTTAATTTAATTAGTAAACCATAAAACTGAGAAGTAATATAATTTTGTTTCCAGTTGATATAAGAATTATCTATTGACCTCATAATTCTTCAATTTGTGGAGGTAAGGTTTGCGCAACTTGGATCTGCTATGGCTGTTATACAGTTGAGTTAACTCTTCCTGTAACATATGAGCAGCAGGGACTACTTTCCTAACATCACCAGAGAGGGATGAAACTCCTTCGAGAAAAGGCGTCTGCTCCAGTAGAACAAGATCAATCGTAAATATAGATACCATTAACTAACTTTTCCTGTTATGCATTGAAAATGGTTAGGGACAAACCAGTCTTTCTCCATAAAACCGATGTAGCAGCATGGCCGAGATCATCATACATTCGGGCAACCATTTGGAGAACACTGGGACAAACTCATTGATCTCTACTTTCGCGATGACGCTCAGTTCATTTGCAAGTAGAGCTAGAGCATGTGTACGCTCACCATGAGATTTCACGTAAGCAAAATGTGCCGCCTAGGAGGATTGAATATCGGATTTAAGTAAATGTTTACATCATATGACAGAACGATAAAAGAAGTGCCTTATACAGTATAGCTGTACAAGTAATTAAAGACAAACTCACCCTTGCACATGCACCTTTGATAGAGTTCTGAACATAGGATTGTATCTTATCACTAACATCATCACTCAACGTATCTAGCTTGATAAGCTGCAAGAGAAAGAAAAAAATATCTATCAACGACAATCACCCAAGTATTCCTCCTCATCACAAGCCCAAACTAGATAATATATATGCAGTTCCTTTCTTTATATCCAACTAGGAAGGTTTTTATAGCAACCACACACTGTATACATAAAACATAGTCACCCCAGAAAAAGCTAGTTTGAAACTTCTAGTATGGGACTCAAGGAGAATTTCCGTACGCGTTTTGTCAAGAATGTTAACTCTAACTGAATATTTTTTCAAAAGTCAACACATGTAAAGATTTAATAGGAAAGACCAAAGAAAGAAAAGTTTGTTGTTAAACAGATATTAATAATACAGTGATGATCAGAAACGCCAACCTCACTTCTGGTACAGTCAGATGGAGGAAGTCCAACTGTCGATGCCAAGCTGACAAGCATTCCAAAATCACGAGGTTTCTGAGGAGACATAGTCGACCAAAAAATTAATTAAAAACATGATGCTTATTATGTCCTGATGTAATTGCAAAAACAAATTCGAGCAGATAAATTTACAATAGAGATGAAAAGAGTATTTCGCTTGAGGAGTTAGGAAGTAGCAAAATCCAATTATCTTGATTATGAGGAAAAAGGATTAATTTATGGCAAAAGGATATACTACCAAAAAAAACATGTAAGAATTTTGGCAAGGAAAATTGAAAAGAATATGCAAAATTATGTAAATTATAAGGTCGTTATCATAGATTGGGAACTGACCTTACCAAAGTGTAGATGGTAGTCCTGAAGTTTATCATCACACCAAGCACTAACTGAAGTGAAAATAGCCTTCACGAGACCTAAGTGTATGTCAGTTCCATTGGTTTGCCTTGAACATACTAGATGATTTAAATAAAGATCTTCCTTCCTGTTGCCCCTTTCAGCAGAAGTAACTTTATGCAACTCCTCAATTGCGCTCCCTAGAAGAGATGGTTCACCTGTGCACACAAACTTCCCAGGAAAGGAGCACATGTGATGGCTACTTAAACTCTTGTCTGAGATACATTATATATGAAAACATACAAGCATCGGTGCAGTGAAGAATGAAGATCAAACAACATATCAGAAAACTCAACCTGGCATTGTATTTAACTGTGAGTTTAGGTTCTAGTTTATCCAACTGTGAGTTTAGGTGTCCTAAATTCTAGCTTCCCTAAACAAGATTATTATATCTATTTTATACATATTACACATGCCACAGGTGTACTTGAGTTTATATACCTTCAAATTGAAACCCGAAACAGACTGACTTTATTGGTGATATGATATTACTCAATGGTATAGTGATCAGTTAGATAAAGCAGAGCTCTAACAAGCCAACTTTGTGCGCATCAGCGCATAGTGATTAGTTAGATAAAGCAGAGTTCTGGGAAATAAGTGATAAGACGTACCTGTTGAAAAAGAACCCATCCATATATTGCATTATGTAAATTCTCAGTTATGCCCAATGTCGACCAAATTGATTTCATATGGAAAAGAATCGATGAGGCATCCTAATATATATATATGACGTCAGGGACAAATTATGCATGAGAAATGACAGAATAAAACAAGGACTACGAAAATTTACCTCTATGACTTGACCCTCATCAAGAGTATCAAATACACCAAATAATAATTTCTCATAGATTCTAATGTTCAAATGGTAGGTAGCAGTCCAGTAGTAAGTTTCTTCTTCAATACCGCATCGGCCTGGTAGTGATGACAACTTTGAAGCCACATGTCTTATAGACGATAGAACCTCAATCCGTAGCGAAGCAGACACTACAACATCCCATTCCTGTGCCAACCAAAAATAGTTTTAGATTCAAGAAAGAGAAGTCTGTTAAGTCATATCATTAGATGAAAAAACTTGTTGGCTACGAAACATCCAGATCACAAATTTAGTCCGCACCTTTGAGTCTCTTATCGTTGCAAGGCATTTTCTCATAGTTGCTCGTTCATTTTTCTCCAGACTAGGAGAGAAACGGAGGACTTCTTCTAGTAGGTTAGCCTACATTGACGATGGAAAAAGACACTTGATTCAATGGCTGTAACAATAAAGTCAAGAATATTTGCGATGCCTTTTACATATTTTGAATATGCATGTCTACATGTTTCAGTAAATGTCCTCAGGACAGCAGGATGCTGCAGAAGTAAACAAATTTACAAGCCAAGCTGAAATCACAAAAGCTGCATGTGCGTATTAAAGTAGGTTAAGTTTGAACTTAAGCTGTGGTACAAAAGGTATGCCTCTGTGCCAAGCATTTTATCTTTTTCTCATCCAAACTTACGTGATACTATCATAATCTACATCAAACCATGAAATCCAAGAAATGGTTCAAAGAGTTGCATAAGGGCGACAAGAATAAACAGTACTGTAGTTCATTATCACCTGTCTAGTCTTCCACTTCATGTAGAGATTTTCATTAGGAAAATCTGATTTAAATAGTCCAACCAAAAGCCCCAATGCTAACTGCGGAAGATCAATTTGTTCACCTGTCCTTAGTGTAGCCAACTGTACCAGATTTCTACGTATGCATGTATCCATCTTCGATGAAATCTATAAAGCAGAAACAGTCAGGAATTGAATATCTGCTGCACGGTAAGATTCAGCGCAAGTGATGCAAATAAAGTAAAGTTGATATATAGAACTGCTAATTTTTTTGGTTTTAACAAAATGCTAGCTACTAGTATAACCAGGAGACCTTTCTCTTCTCCTTTTATGTTAGATAGGTTTCTTAGGGTGAACCAAGACTGATGATTTTGAAGCTTGCCTGCATTTGGACACGGATCATGTTGATGACCTCTGAGTGTGTATTTGAGATCTGAGGCTGTAAATGTGGTTTATCTTTTCTTTTCAAACTTGTCAATAGTCTTGAGCTTTTTTCTATCTTTCTTTTCTGAGTAGGATACGCCTCAACACTGTTTGTAAAAACCCATAAGATTATCAGAGAAACCACAGATCTATCCAGATTATTTTTATGCAAATGCAAGGCTGCATCAAAGCCAACACAGAATAGACATGTATGAAGGAGAAACGAGAGAGCGTACCTTGAAAGCAACATAGAAGCAATCATTAATTCGTATCCTGCTTCACGTAAATCATCATCCGATAACCCTTCAAAATCCCTAACATCATGTATCAGTTCACTCGAAAGATAATTAAACAAAATAATCAAGATTCACAACGACAGAAGGACATAACAAAAAATACTTTAACTAAGTACCTGTTCTTAAGGGTGGCAAGCCAAGAGGGATGATTCTGATAGGTTTTACAGGTTTCTTTTCAGGTGTTTCCTCTTTAAATATATAACTGTCTCTAGACGAATGAGTAGTAGACGAAGCATTGTGGCATGACATGTCTGGGCCAGTGCTGCTGGATTTTACCACGTTAACTGGAGGAGGAGGCATACGGTGAGGAGGAGATCCTGCTATATCTGGACTTGATACAAGAAAAAAGGAGTCTCTAGACTCGGAGTGTATCTGCAAATTCAAATCACCAAAACTAATCATCTTCAGGTGCTATTATAAACAAAGGCACTAGTATTTTACATCAGCGGCTTAAGCCACATAAAATTGAGAGGCGGACGTACTTCCGATAGTCACAGCTCTACTTCACATACATTTTCTTGTACATCATATAAAAATGAAGTGTATACTAAAACTATACTTTCCATCGAGACAACAATAAAACAATCAAGAAAAAGTTACCATTGTATCACATAACTATTATAAATAGATGCCATTTAATATGCAAAATTTTCTTAGTTCAATCATGCACTCAAAGACAGCAACAAACACGGATCACTTGTAGAAAGATTTGCTTACTGTTACAGGGTATGAGGAGTCAAAATTGTATTTCTTCGTTCCCTTGGATACATCAACTACACCACCTGCGTTCGTGTTACAGCAAATGGTAATAGTTAGATACCAGATTCCTCTTATAAGTTGGCAAATCGAAACAACTAAGCAGAGAGCCAATTTTGCCCATTACCCTAGCTGCGTTAAAACCCTTTATCCAAAATAACAAATCGGACTAAAACAATTCATTCTAAGAAGATGACAACTCCATTAAACACAGAGATGGATAAATCGTTTTCTCAGTATCGAGTATAGACTCACCGGATTTCACGCAATCCAAGACATAATCGGCGCTAAGAGAATCCAAATCATCCGGAGAAAGGGAAGCAGGAGAACCAGAAGGGGAACGAAGCTCCGTTACCAAACCCGAAGACATAAGAAACTCCAGGAGCTTGCGGCGATCGTTCCGGTAACGCTGCAACAGAGAATTCATCTTCGCCTCCCTCCCGTACGAGTCTGGAACCAAAAAAATCGCCTCTGACCTTTATTTTAAATCTTCAATTCGAAGAAGAAGAAGAAGATGAAGAAGGGAGCTGCAGAGAGGCTTTCTTCAGCTTGTACTTTGTTGTCCCCTCTCCATCGAAGAAGGTGGAAGCTTTGGGTTTTTGGGGGAAGCGCGGAAAAAGCACGAGGTGTGATCAGTTAAATTACCATAATAACCTTAGTTACCATGATTCTTTTCATATTCTGACACTCTGACTTTATTTTCTTTTTGGTAAATTCTTTAATTTTCTGAAAGACTCAAATTGTAACGACAAAATATTTATTACGGACAAACGACGTCGTTTAGTTTTTTCTGATCATAACGACGTCGTTTAGTTTTCTGATCATAACGACGTCGTTTAGTTTTCTGATCATAACGACGTCGTTTAGTTTTCTGATCATAACGACGTCGTTTAGTTTTCTGATCATAACGACATCGTCTAGTTATCCTGAGCATTACGACGTCGTTTAGTTATCCTGAGCATTACGACGTCGTTTAGTTATCTGATCATTACGACGTCGTTTAGTTATCTGATCATTACGACGTCGTTTAGTTATCTGATCATTACGACGTCGTTAGTTATCTGATCATTACGACGTCGTTTAGTTTTCTGATCAAAACGACGGCGTTTAGTTTCTTTCATTATAACGACGGCGTTTGGTAACTAATAACACTGAACGACAGTGTAGACATCGTTAGATTGTGTAATTGACGGTCCAATTTGTTTCTAAATGTTTTTACTTTTTCCATTAAATAAACGAGAAACACAAAGCTCTGTTTCCACGTTTCACACCAAGAAAAATAGAGCAGGTACAGTGGAACTATGCAAGGACTACTTCCCATTTTCCCCAAGGCACTGTACTAAAAATCACAGGAGGTGATAATGGACTACATACTCTAAACACAGCACTAAAACACGAACCAGAGTTTACATATGTATATCTGAAACTTTCTGGTCTGGGATGGTTCAGGTTGATACTGATCCTATAAACCACAAAGTGATTTGACTAGACTTCTTCTTCGTTTGCGTTCTTCAAGATGTTAAACTTGCAGAGCGGACAACGTGAGTTTATACGAAGCCATTTATCAATGCAAGCGCAATGAAAGTGATGGTTACAAGGGAGTTCTCTTAGCTCGGCTCCATCTTCATATTCACATAGACAAATGCAGCATTCCTTCAGAAATCATAAGAAGCCATGCGTTAACCGTTAACCGTTAACAATCTATCTACACACTTTGACAATGTAAAACTGTATAAGAATGTTGACATGGGAGTGTACCGTGTCTTCTGGAGAAAGCGAGCGTTCAATAGGTGAATCTGTTCCACATTCCGTCATTATACCTGAGAGCTTTTCATTGTTGCTACTCTTTCTAAATCTGAATTTCGGTATTTGATCAATATCGTTCTTTGATGCTCCCTCCTGTTTTGCACAAATTCGCATCACAAGATAATAAATGGAGATCATGATTTGAAGTTGGATTTACTAATTCTATGTAGATGAAAGAACAGGTTCTAAACTTTAACAATTTGTTACGATAATAGAAGTTAGTATAGTAGAAGAGAGCTTTACCTGGTCGGCAACAGCATATAGAATTGCAATTATACATGGAAGACAGCAGCAAACAGCAAGGCCGATAACACAAGCCAGCGCAACACAGAACACGACAAAGAACACATCGAAACCGAGAAAAATGATACACAGCCTGCAAGTCAAAAACACCAAAGTAAAAGTTTGTTTCAATAACTCCCACAAAGATACAACTTCAAAGAGACTCAAAACAAGAAACATACCAATATAGCTGAGGAGAGTCACCAGATAGTGTTTGGCCTCCTGCTGAAACCCAGTAGAATCCAATAATCCACCAGATGAATGAGAACATTGTGTTTGCTGATTCTAAATGCTTCGCAGGATTACTGAGACCATCAACATTGTGGATCAATATGAAAAAGGTCAGACTTGAACTTCATACTTTGCAAGAACAAAAGCTGATATCAATATGAAAGAGGTCACACGAAATGTTACATGGACTCACAGATACAATAACGCATCAACTAACATTAACCTAAAAAAATTAGATTCCTTAGATCAAAATCTATATATACAGAGAACAAGTCTCATCTCTAGCTTCTCCCAATTCGAAATTATAAACACTGGTTCCAAATCAAACAAAGCACTAATCAAATCCAAAACAGTTAAACAAAATTCAATACCTAGTACTTCCTCTATCTTCCAATTGAGCTAACGAAACATACTGCTGCGACGAATTAGTAAACCCAAGACCACCACCATCCTCTGAAGAAGATGAAGATAAAGACCGTTGACGCATACCTCCCCTACGCCGCCGTCTCCTCCGCCTATACTCAACACAAACACAAGCCATATGTAACCAGCACTGAATCCCATAACCAACAACCCAAACTCTCAACGGCACATTAGGCCTCTCGTCACGGCTAAGAATCAGAACAGCAACACCGATCGCAACAAAAGCTAGATTCCACAAAATGTCGAGAAACACCACAGGTTTAGAATACGCCCAATCACTCTGTCTCTCTTCCAATTGCTCAGCCGCGGTTTCTCTAACGAGCATCGACGGTTCACGCATCATCCTCCGGCTACCGGCGTGACGTAAGAACCTCGCTGCTTCTCTTAGACCTTGTCGTCTAGCGGATCGATGAATCGGATTCGATTCTTCTTCATCTACGCTTATGGTTCGTGATACGGTTGGAGGAAGAAACGGTGTCGTGTCGATGATTCCGTCGGAGTTTGATCTGCCGACGCGAGTAGAAGGTAGAGATGATGAATCCGATTCTGTGGTGTTCGTCGTCGTTGACATTTTGAAGCTTTCTTTTTTTTTCTCAATTTCGATCGGTTAATGCCATACGAAAGGTTTCTCAAATTACGATTTGTCCCAAAAAGGGTTTGGAGTTTTTTGTTTTTTTGACGTACAGAGTTTTGCAGAAAAGGTAATCAGAGAGATAACAGAAACGATAACGTGAGGAAAATTGAAAAAACTTAAAAAGTGTTTAAAAAAATGTAATATGGGCCTCAAGTTTTATTTAGCCTATTAAGTATGGGCTTTCTTTTTTTATTGCCTACTGGGCTTTCTTTTTAAAAAAGTGTAAGCACCAATTAATTAAGACGCGTTTTCCGTCGTTCTATACACTGGTTAAAATTGATGATCAAAGTGTTTTATACATTGTGTGACTGTGTGAAGTTTCGATTTGTGATACTCAGAATTATTTGTTCAAGAGGCATAAAAAAAAGTTTGGATCATGCGAAGGATCTTAGATCATGAGAACATAATCATTGCATGAAGAGTCTACTATCTCCTTTTGTTTTAATTGGATTTTATTTATTATTATATTTTATTATATAAAGTTGGATATTTAAAATTAGTCATTAATAAGATCGTGACATGTGTTAATTAAACTGATAAGATGTTGAAAAATATCAGAAATTAGTGATAAAAATTATATAAATTAATTTTCAAACCAAAAATATTTTCAAAATAGAAAGAAGAAAAATAAATATTCATGAAATTTAACTATTACTTAGTAGTAATTCTAAAGGAAAAATGATAGTAATTATAAAAAAATATAAAAAAATATTATAAAAATTAGGTCTAAATTTCTTTTTAAATACTTTCAATATAATATGTTTATGATAAAATTTTAATTTTAATTTTATTTTGAAAATAAATAACCCATCTTTTAGATGGATTCTACTTTATATTAGACAGTATGATATTTAAATAATATAGATTAATTTTTCGTTGTAAATGTTTTGAAACATCTACGTTTTCACAAAGAAATATTAGACACAAAGGTTCGTATAACTCTTTTTGTCCATGAATTACTGACGTTGCATTGGTCAAAGCCCTTATATTAGATATAGTATAGCATAGGCTCTTTGTCAACAATCATGAAGGGATGTATCATAAACAAGACATCGGACCATTATTAGGTTAATCAATTATGTCTTTTCTTAATCAATCTATTAAACCTAATAGAAACTATATAAAATACATATACAATCGGCACACGTATAAGCAAACCCTGAAAATATAATTTTATCATATACTAGTAGAGTGATCACACTTGTCTCCAGCGAAAATGAAATCTCCATGAAATTTTTACAGAAATTGCACTAGATACCATTTGACTTTAAAATAATTAAGTCAAAGGGAGAATGGAAAAATAGTAAATACTGATGAAATCAATTATACCTAATTATGAAAAAATATTGTTGGTTCTATGCATCTCTCCTCCACATTCAATTTTTCTTACATCTTTTAAACTATATACTAGTATATAATGATATATATTAAACAAAACGTTGGTATATATATGTTTATATATCATGATATTTTATATTATTATATTATAAATCAGTATGTCATGATATCTATATTAACATTTTTAAAACAGTTTTTTAAATAAATCCTATACTTCCAAACTATTTACAACCGAGGCTATTGATATTTTTTTTTATTTTAAAAAATAGAAACTAATATTTATCCTATTTTAAAAAATTTACTAAAATATCTTCTTAAAAATTTGAATATCATTTTCCATATCTTTTTCTTCTTCTAAATTTATATGTTCTTATGAGTGTTTTTAATTTATTTTGTTACATAAAATATATGTATAATAAAAATATATATTTTTAGCATATGTTGCAATTTGAATTTTTTTAAACTCCTTTATATTATTCAATTGGTTTAAAAACATTGTATGTACAGTATCCCACTTCGGGTAAAAAATTTAGGGAGATTTGCACAACTAACCATTATTATGGTACCCTTTTCTACAAATACTCTCTCTAGGTGTTCATTTTCAAAAATATCCTCTTTAATGTACAAAATGACTAAATTACCCTCATTTATTATAACTCATGATGAAAAAATGAATATTATCTCCAACAAAAAGAATATTCCTTCCGAAAAATTTCCCGCCAAAAAATTTTCCCGTCAAAATTTTTTTTTTTAAAAAACCTTCTAAATATTTATAAATCCCTTAAAAATCCTTTAAAAACCCTTGTAATTCTTTTAAAAGTCATCCAAAACCTTTCAAAACTTGAGTAAACCTTTTAAAACCATTGTAAATCATTTTATAACATTTATAAACACTTGTAAATCCCTTTAAACCACTTATAACCGTGATAAATCATTTAATAAAAACTTTTGTAAACTTCTAAAACTCGTTAAAAACCCTTGTAAATCCTTAAACCCCATTTTAAAGAACTTGTAATACCTTTAAAAACTTTTGTAAACCCTTGAAACACCTTTGTAAACTTCTAAAACCCTTTAAAACTTCTTTTAAATCCTTTAAAACTATTTTTAAATCTTTGTATGCCTTTAAATATACTTTTAAATCCTTTTAAAAACACTTGTAAATCCTTTAAAACTATTTTTAAATCTTTGTATGCCTTTAAATATACTTTTAAATCCTTTTAAAAAACCTTTAAAAATCTTTGTAAATTTTTAAAATCCTGTAAAAACTTGTAAATTTTTAAAATCCTTTAAAAATCCTTGTAAATTTTTAAAATCCTTTAAAAATTCTTGTAAATCCTTTTAAAACTGTTATAAACTTATAAGAACTTTTAAAAACCATTGTAAATCATTTAAAAACCATTTAAAAACCTTTGTAGGCTTCTAAAACTCTTTAAAAACCATTACAAATCTTTTAAAAACCATTTAAAAACTCTTGTAAATCCCTTTAAAAACCCTTGTAAACCCTTTAAAAGATCCTTTAAAAAATCTTGTAAACCTTTTTAAAAAAATTTGGCGGGAAAATTTTGAAAAAATAATTTTTTTTGCGGGAAAATTTATGGGGAATATTTTTGGCGGGAAAATTTTGGCGGGAAATTTTTTGGGGGGAAATTTTGGGAAGGAATATTCCTTCCTTTGGGAAAGAATATTCTTTCAAATAGGGGTAAAATAGCCATTAAAAATTAAGAGAGGGCAAAAATGAAAATTGTAAAAAAAAGTATTTTTAAAAAAGGGTATCATAAAAAGGTTATTGGTATCAATTTCTCAAAAATTTAGACAATAAATATGACTTATATGTTTCTAACTATGAATAAGCAGGAAGTGTGATTTATCAGACGTCCAAATTTAAAAATTTTGTTCGATTTAACCATATTCTTTATTTGAGCAAATTAAAACTTTAAAAACGACTAAATTTTTTTAAAATATTTGAAATATTAAACTCTATAAAAATTTAAATATTATTTATATTTTAACTCTAACAAGGTTTAAAATATTATAAATATTTTAACTACGTATAAATTTAATATCATTATAAATAGCTAAAATATATTAAAAGTTTAAGTGTTATTGGCTTTGCCATAAGTTTAAACATGAGTTTAATTTCTCGGTCATAAGTTGGTTATGCAAAATTTCAGTATAAAGAAATATAGTTTGTATATTATTTAATTTGATATAGTCAATTTTAAACTTTTAAGAAGTTTAAATACTATAGTTGATAATAAAAATTAAAAAAGAGTTAAAAATAACATGGATATATTATATGACGGGACGGTTTGTAATACGGGAAGGGTTGTAAGACGAGACATGTTGTATAGTATGGATTGAATCGATATTACTAAAAAATTAAAATAACCTTAATTTCATATTTCAATATGGGTAAAATCTTTATTTAAGTATTAATTACAAATTGTTATTATGCAACCTTAATAATTATTGAATAACCTTTAATAAAATCTGTAAATTCTCAAAAAATAAAATTTTTTAAAAAATGTTTGTCCCGCGGCACGATATATGTTATAATATATGTTAATGATATATTATGATACCATGATATATGTTAGAATATATATGTTATGATATATCATTATATACATTGATATATTATAATAAAGAACTATAAAATTGATATATATATATATATATATAAAGTACCATGATATATATTAATAATATATCATGATATATGATAGAATATCATGATATATATTGATATATCAGGTAAAAGATAAATAATTAAGAACTATAAGATTGATATATATTGAAGTACCATGATATATATTAATAAATTTTGTTTTAGTTATATATATCGTGTAATATGCTAACATATCGTTATATTTAGAAGATTACGTGTTTCAAAGTGTCTATTGTTCACGTAGCTTATGCATGTTTGTGTCTGCTTAGAATAGGTTTTTTTTTTTTTGTTTAAAGAGCATTTTGGTCAACTTTTATTTCTCTCATTCTGATCTTGTAAAATCGGAAATGTCCCTAGCATATATGATTAATTATTCTTTAAACAAATGGTATGCACTTAATTGAGTCTAACAGAAACGATAACGTGAGGTAAATTGGAAGAAAACAAAAAAAAAGTGTTTAAAATGTAATATGGGCCTCTAGTTTTATTAAGCCCATTAAAGTATGGGTTTTATTTTTTAAAGTGCAAGCAACGCTTAATTAATTTAAAGGGTCATGGCTTCTTCTTCTTCTTCTTCGACGCCTCAGTTTAAATCGTATCAACAATGGCGGAGAAAGCTCAGAAAAGTCTTGTTCTATTAGCGAATCTAATTAAGGTTCCACCAATAAAAGCTTTCTTTATCTTAAACTCTTCGAATTTTCATGGATTTCAACACAGTCACGAATCAATCTCAATCCTTCTTCGTCTCCTTCTCTCTGGGAACTTATTCTCACACGCTCAATCACTTCTTCTTCAAGTAATCTCCGGAAAAATCCACTCCCAGTTCTTCACTTCTTCCTCTCTGCTACACTATTTGGCAGAATCAGAAACGTCAAAAACCAAGTTTCGACTCTACGAAGTAATCATCAATACGTATGTTCAATCTCAATCGCTAAACTCATCGATCTCTTACTTCAAAGAAATGTTCGATAAGGGTTTTGTTCCTGGATCGAATTGCTTCAACAATCTCTTAACTTTCGTTGTTGGGTCGTCGTCTTTCAACGAATGGTGGTGTTTCTTCAACGAGAGCAAAAGAAAAGTTGATTTAGATGTGTACAGTTTTGGGATTGTGATCAAAGGTTGTTGTGAAGCTGGTGAGATTGAGAAAAGCTTTGATCTTTTTGTTGAATTGAGAGAGTTTGGGTTTTCTCCAAACGTTGTTATCTACACTACTTTGATTGATGGGTGTTGCAAGAAAGGTGAGATTGAGAAGGCGAAAGATTTGTTTTTTCAGATGGGTAAACTTGGATTAGTGGCTAATGAGCGTACTTACACGGTTTTGATTCATTGGTTATTCAAAAATGGGATTAAGAAACTAGGGTTTGAGATGTATGAGAAGATGCAGGAAGATGGAGTTTTCCCCAATATATATACGTATAACTGTGTGATGAATCAGCTTTGTAAAGATGGAAGAACAAAAGACGCGTTTAAAGTGTTCGACGAAATGCGTGAGAGAGGAGTTTCGTGTAACATTGTTACTTATAATACTTTGATTGGTGGGTTATGTAGAGAGATGAAGGCGAGTGAGGCAAATAAAGTTATGGATCAAATGCAGAGTGATGGAATCAACCCGAATCTGATTACGTACAACACTTTGATTGATGGGTTTTGTGGTATGGGAAAATTGGGGAAGGCGTTGAGTTTATGCAGAGATTTGAAGTCAAGAGGTCTGTCTCCATCTCTCGTCACTTATAACATTCTAGTTTCCGGGTTCTGTAAAAAGGGAGATACTTCAGGAGCAGCTAAGATGGTTAAGGAGATGGAAGAAAGAGGGATTAAGCCGTCGAAAGTAACATACACAATTCTTATCGACACATTTGCTCGTTCGGATAACATGGAGAAAGCAATTCAGCTTCGATCATCAATGGAGGAACTAGGATTAGTCCCAGATGTTCACACCTATAGCGTATTGATTCACGGGTTCTGCATCAAAGGCCAAATGAATGAAGCATCGAGGCTTCTTAAGTCGATGGTCGAAAAGAAGTTGGAGCCGAACGAAGTGATATACAATACAATGATTCTCGGATATTGCAAGGAAGGTAGTTCTTATAGAGCATTGAGGTTGTTCAGGGAAATGGAAGAGAAAGAGTTGGCTCCAAATGTTGCTAGTTATAGATATTTGATTGAAGTTCTTTGTAAAGAAAGAAAATCGAAAGAAGCTGAGGATTTGGTTGAGAAGATGATTGTATCAGGGATTGATGCATCTACTTCACTCTGTAGTTTGATCTCTGAAGCCAAAAATGGTTTTTGAAAGAGAAATTATGAATTTTATATTGCTCTTCTCACGTAGCAGCAGAACAATCCGTACAAATTACACAAAAAGGGCAGTCCACTTAACAATCCAAACTCACGAAATAACTTATTAGTCAACCATCGACGAGCCAGCTTCTATGGCGTTTGATGGTTTTGTAGTTTGTAAGTTCTGAGTTTCACCGACGATTCTAAAGACTCCCGAGTGCACATCCAAGATTCTTCTGACCATAGCAACGCGATGGACATCCTTACCAACTCGAGCCTTGCAAATGTCCTTGTATCTAATGTAGAAAATTGCGTCATAGGCCTCAAGTCCCATATTATAGGGCTCCAGGTTTCGTGTAATCTCCATAGCCACTTTCAGAATCTTCAAATTGGTCATACTATGTGTGATATGGTTCCTGAAAGATGTGGCAACAGCAAGTTCCAAATACAGACGAATCCAGTCATTCTCTTGAACCTCTGATTCCTTCAGCTGCCAAAAAAGAAAGACAAAACATACATCACTTACTTTTAATTCTTGATCACAAGAACAAAGTGTGGTTTTAAAAATCAAGGTTACCACATAAAATCGGTTCGTGTCACCGTTAAAAGGATCCTCTGACGGTAACTCAGGCATGAAATGGTCGAGGGACTTGTTATCCAACACGTTATAACTTGTCTTTCTTTCACCACGAATGATTTTTTCCCCTACACAAAGATTAATTAACTCATGCAGTTTTAAATAGAGACAATGATCTTGAGGCAAAAAAAGTAATGAAATTTCTTGCAAAGATGATCTGCAAGAAAAATGAGTCATCTCTTCTAGCCCTTTAATGCCGTCTTCGTCGTGCTTGCATTCTGACTCCCATGGAGTGGTGGGGGCATAAGAAGCAAAAATTTAATCTTCCATATGGTAGCTCTTCAAATGGTTATCTTTATGGTAATACCAACATAAAAACCAAACAGATAGAATCAAAAGAGAGTAGAAAATCAGGGAGATCTCTTATAACTGGTGGACCATCTAGTGCAATCTTCTGGTGAGCATACCAGTAAGCGTTGCCCTTTACAGACACGCCACGGTGATGAAACGACATACCCCAGTCCAGATTGAGATCAACGAGTGCCTCCCAGCTGTTTAAACGGAAGATTTCAAACTCACAAACTCGTCTATCTACATCCGGGTCGAAAGTATGAAGAAATCTCAAGACTTTGGAGTATTTGTTCTTCATATCTGTGAGTGACTTTGGAGAAAAAAAAATCCAACAAAAATATATACAAGAAAAGTCACTGTTGCAAAAATGTTTTGGGTAAAGCTTTTTGTTTTAGTGGCTTTGGTATTAACAAGTTGTGTTGCAAATCCTACAATTAGAGAATTGTCTCAAGAAGAAGATCTGGAATTAGAGCCACAACTTAGGCCTCGATTGGTAACCATGATTTAGGAAAAAATGAGAAGGAATGTGACATTCCTCTTCATTCCTCAATTTTTTTACCATTTACAAGGAATCATTTTTCCACATCATTCCTCTACATTCCTCACAAAATGAGGAACAATAGAACAAAAATGTTCCTCCCCAAAATTGATGAGAAACAAATAGAACAAAAAAAAAACAAATATTAAAATTCGTTTTTATTTTAAAATAAATAAAAAAAATATTTATTAATAATATTTTAATCTCATAATATAATATTTTTCATATTTTTATCATGTATTGACATTAAAAAATATTTTTGATATGAATTTCATGTTAAAAAATCTTACTAAACATTATTTAAAATTTGTATGGATAGTAAAACATATTTAAGAGATGTTTATATCATAAATAACAAATAAAAAATTACTATAATCTATAATAGGTTAATATAAATTATTAATTTTTAGCATTAAATATTTAAATTCATTCAAAAATATATTTTAAAATTAGTGTCAAATTCATAAAATATAAATTATATCTAGTATTATTATTAAAAGTTGATTTATTTAATCAAATATATTATAAAATATAGTGTTATTGTTTGGTTACCATTTATTATTTTGTTTTTCTCTGCATGTTTTCCTATCATTCCTCAAAAGTTGTTTATTCCGTTCCGTATTGTTCTTTTTATTCTTTTTCCTTTTATTCCTTTAATGGTTACCAGTAGAAGCCTTAATCTTATGAATAAATATCCTGTTAAGATCATCGAAGATCTGGAATTAGAGCGACAAATTAGAACTTTTTATACACTATTTCCAAAAAAATTTGGTTATATATTTACATATTTTGAGTGTTAAAATTATTATTTTTTCTCCTGATGAAAAAGTTTAATGTTAAAAAAAAATTTGCAGATCGAAAAATGGACATATCTACGATTGTATAGATGCCGATAGTCAGAAAATTGTTGGTGTAATAGGTGCCAATGAGGTCATATCTAGTATTGGTTGGGATTATGTGAGACAAAATTATTTCTATGTAACTAAATATTGGGGACGAACTATAATGTTTGGTGGTCCTCTAATAACTTAACTTATGTCACGTAAAATCTTATATATAAAATTAAGGTTTCACTCTCTCCTTATTGGTGGAAAAACATTTAAGCCATTCATTTTAAAAAAAACATATATATAAAAATAAATGTTAATGACAATCATTCAATACAAAATTTAATTACACCATAAGTTATAAACAAATGACAAAGAAAATGAAATGATTTAATTATATATATATATATATATATAAATGTAAGGTTTCACTCTCCCTTTATTGCTCCATTGATATATATATATTTTTTAAATTTAATATTTATTTACCAAAAAACACATTTAATCATATACATCAATTTATACTTTGAATCCACACTTTACTACTAAAATGTAACTGAAAATTATATAAATTTTCAAAGACTATTGATTTTCTTTATTGAATTTCAATTAAACACACTATAAATTATAATAATGACTCATTTAATTTAATTAATTTAAAAATGTAACTTACATCACTTTTTATCCTATAAATAGCCATTCTCACATCCTCCTCTATCATATCTCATATCTTCATTATTTTCTTTGTTTTTAAAAAACAATTCTTGCATGGGGTGAAAACTCAATTAAGATGTCATTGTAAGAGTTTGATTAAATATTTAATTTAAACTTTTGTTTTCAATTTTATTTATTTTTTGTTTATATGTATTTTTCATTTCTTCATTGTTCTTTTTTATATTTTTAAATGTAATAAATATGTATAATAATATTTTATGGTTATAAGAAAATTATTTTATTGATGGGATTCAACAATATTAAATTCCGACCATTGTACAATATGAAAATCAAGCTAAATAAACCATCTTCATTCTTTTACTTTGGATGTTTGTTTCTTTCTCACATATTCATGTATATTTATTTTAATTTCAAAAGTATGTAATTTTTTAACAAAATAAATTTTTGTTATATAATTATGAAACCAATTTGTAAGACATTATTTTAAGAATAATGATCCTTATATTTAGTTTGTGATTCAATATTTAATAATATAAAGAACATTATAATTGTTGTTAACATTGAATTTTATACTTGATTTCCTATATAAAAGACAATTTGATATTCAATTTTCTATCTATTATATATACTAAAAGGATGAAAAATATAATTAAACCTAGAGAAATAACTTAAATTAAGAGGAATATAAAAAGACTTTAAAAATAAGATTATTTTATGGGAATTTTTAAGGTTTCACTCTCTCCTTATTGGTCCATTTAGCATTTATTTTTAAATTATAATATTTATTTCTAACTAAACCAAATTTTTAACACATTTAATCATATACTTTAATTCATACTTGAAATTCACACTTTAATACTAAATTGTAACTGAAATTAAGTAACTTGTGAATTGACTATTTGTTTCCTCCATTCAATTTTAATTAACACACTATAAATTATAATTATAACTCCTCTAATTTAATTATTTTAGAAATATAAATTACACCATATTTTATCCTATAAATACCCATTCTTACATCCTCCTCCACCATATTTGATACCCTCAATATTTTCTTTGCTTTATTTTTAATGTTCTTGCATGGGTTGAAAGATCAATTAAGATATCTTTGTAAGAGCTTGATAATATATTTGGTTTAAATTTTTGTTTTCAATTCTATTTTTTCTTTGTTTTATGTACTTTTTCATTTCTTTATTGTTTTCTTATACTGTTAAATGTATAATGCATATGTATAATAATTTTTTATAGCTATAAGAAAATTACTTTATTGATGAGATTCAAAAATATTGATTTCCGACCATTACACCATAAGAAAAAATCAAGTAAAAAAACAATTTTCATTCTTTTACTTTAGATGTTTGTTTCTTTCTCACATATTCATGTATATTTATTTTATTTTCAAAAGTATGTAATTATTGTAACAAAAAAAAAATATAATTATCATACCAATTTGTAATACGTTGAAATAAATAAAATTTTGTACACAAACAAAGGTAATGTGTATGTATATTTATAAGCTTACACACATATTGGATAAATTTCAACATTTTTAGTGATTGTTTTGATAAATTTTGAAAAAGGGATAAATTTAAAAAGTGGTATTTGAAAAGAGGTATTTTTAAAATTCTCTCAATATCATTTCTATTTTTATCATTAAAAATATTATTATTTTTTTATCAAAAAATACTCAAAAGTACTGAAGAAAATTACTATCAAAATTGAATTATTAATCAACGAATAAATTCAAGAGATATGAATGAATTCTATTGAATGATTTAAATATCATAAGCATTGAATTTTTTTGTTCTATTTTTTATAAATATATTAATTAACTTAATATACAACAACCCGCGCATATGCGCGGGACATTACCTAGTATGTACAAAACCGTTGTTGAGTCTTAATGTAAACGATGAGTTCTTAATTAGTATATTCTATATATCTCTCTAGAGTTAAATCTCGTTAAATCTCGTAGGATGTTATATTATAAGCAATTTTAGTGATTGTTAATGTTTGTTCACAGAGACAAAAAGATTTGTATATTACAATACTGTACACATGCTTGTAAGTGAAGAGGTAAGTGTTGTATTGAATGTATAAACTGGGAATGTCTGTTGTTTAAAGCTGGTTTTTGAGTCTTTACCCTATATTGTTATTCATGCTTTGCTTTTCTAGAGATGATCATAAAGCAAAAGAGTAACAACAATCAATGGATATCGTCTTACCGAAAAAGTTAGAGGTAAGCTCTTTCTTTGCTTGAAGAGTTATGTTCAGGGCTGAAGCAATATAAAGACAGGATATTCTTTAGTCTACCTCTTCTCATCAATGTATATAGAACTTAATTTCTCATGAATGCGATAGATCTCAGTTTTAAAATTTTTTAAGTAAAACTGAATTGAAATAACCTAAGAAGATTTGCAATGAATATAGATTTATTAATTTGTAAGCAAAACTAATTTGAAAATTGTTTATTTAATAAATTTTATTTACATTTTCTTATAAATTTTAATAAATATAATCAATTTATTAAAATTTAAAGAAAATCTAAATAAAATGAAAACTTATTTTAAAAAAACGTCAAATAAGTTTTGATTACAAAATAATAAATCTATATTCATTACATATCTTATTAAGTTATTTCAAATCAGTTTTGCTTACAAATTTTATCTTCTCCAATAATATTAAAATAATCTTTGTATTTTAAGATTTTATTTTTATATTATAAATAAATAAAAATAGTAAAACAAAACATCAGTAACAATTAATTTGGATTTTAAATTTTAGTTTTTATCAAAGAAAACTAAAAATTATTTTCACATCTTTTAAACATTAATAATTGATTTTGATACTAAAGGTAAAATTGAAATTTTAATTTTTGCTGTGAGATCGTGTGTATGAATTTACCAAAACTTAAATAAACGAAAACTTTTTATAAAAATGTTATATAATTTTATTTTTTTATTCCAATTGATAAAAGTACATGTATTAAGTTTCTATGAAAGCAATAGGTGGCTCTTTGTCACTAAACGAATCCAAAACACTGTCCCAAAATCTCTTAATAGAGTCTATAGATTTGAAAGATGACAATCCTATAGAAGACTCGCGATGACATCTATTGGCTCTTGTGCATCCTCGATTATATGGATTCGCAGGTATGCGCAAACGACATGCCGGAGTGTTTGGAAATCTTGCATCACATCCATTACCTAGATCTCTTGACACTGGATATTTAATAAACTTCTTCGCATCAGT